GGGGAGAGTCTTAGAATCTCTCCTCCTCTCTCTCCCTCTCTCTCTCTCTTCTTTACCCTCTTAGCTGCTCTTAAGAGGAATTTTGGAGAGCGCAATTTGAAAACCACATCTCTGGACCATGGAGAGTGACCAAAAATTTTAAAGGAGGGAAGTGAATGACATGATGAGACCTGTGATGAGATAAGATTGTTAAGGAGGATGGACTCAAGAATAAAAAGGCTTGAGTAATGGAAAATCAGTTAGGAGGTTATTGTAACCTTGGAACCATCTGAAAGAAACCTGACCTTAAGCAAAAACAATAGGGATAGAGAGAAGTGGGTGGACATTTCTAAAGGCTGTGTTAACAGAACCTGATAGACGATTTATAATAAGGGTGTGGAGAGGGGAAGATTGTTGGGTGAGGAAGAAGGGGTAAAAGGTGATTATATGGTTTCTTACTTAACATTAAAAGCAACAAACTAGTATATGGGAAATCTCTAGTCTAATTTCTAATAACCAGCTTATTTTCTTTGAGTTTCCACTAGCTCAGATAAAACCAACTTGTTATATCACTCACGCCTATATCTATTGTCCTTAATCTTTATTCATCTAATACTTGACTTTGCTAGTAAAACCCTTTTTGCTGTCATTGTTGTGTTGGCTACAACTGTATTTGTCTCTCATTAGCAAGGCAGTGGGTAGTAATTTTCTTTTTTTACTAAGAGAGTCCCCAGCTGACTCACAGGATGTGTTCCAAAAGTACATTTTTAAGTTAATTATTTGGACCTCAGAGTGCATTTTCCCATAGAAGTGGCATTATACGTAGTGATTAGCTTCCCAGGCCAGTCCACAAAAGCCAGTTTAGCCCATATATAACTGAAAGTGTGGATTTTTGCAATGGAAATCAGTTGGAAATAATAGTGTTGCAATTAAAATGAAAACAATAGTCACAAAAGAAGTGGTCTGGGTCTTTGTTTCCCTCAAAGGGAAGGACTTGATGAAAAGCAGGTTTAATCCTAGGAAGACAAAGAGAAATGGATGAGGATTTTTGTGGTAATTGGACACTGCAGTTTTTAAACTGTATTTTCTAAATAATGTTTTGGAGGTTTTCAAAATAATAAAAGCAACTATGTTTATTGTAGAAAATTTGGAAAATTAAAAAAAAATTTTAAATTAAGTCACCAACAATCCTACCATCCAGAGAGAACCAGTGTTCACAAATTGGTGTTTCAACCTTTTTCTTACCGCATGCATTTTTTTAATCAGTTCACCAATAATATGATGCATTCACATGATGAACTATATGATGCAGCTCTTAAATTTATGTTTATGAAGAATTTTTAAAACATCAAAAAGTATTTATGATATAGTTTTGGGCAAAAGGCAACCTTGTATCTGATGCCTGTTTAGGGTTCAGGGAGTATAAGCAGATCAACACTAATCAACCAGGGCAGGAGTCTGCTGTTAGGCCATCAATCAACATCTCCTACTATCAGACCCACCCCCTAGCAAAAACTACAGCCAGACTTTTTGTTGAAGTTCTGAGGAGGATATAAGGTTCTTTGAAGTAATGCAGAGGTTTGTAGCACTGGCTCCTCATTATTTCTGACTTTCCTTCAAATTACAGGGCTTTCTTCTCCCTTGATATACTGTCTCACTGGCACTACTCAGGCTTAAAAACTATTAAGATAATTTTTTGGATTCATAAATGGAATGGAAAAAAGGCCATGTATTTCCTTAGGTAATTATGCATAGATTGAAGAGAGATGAGAAGGACTTGGATGGAGAAGATGTGTACATAGAAGACGAAAATTAGGTGGAAAAGAATGTATTAAGCTAAGAATGGTGAAAGAAAAGTGAGAAAATGAAACAGTATAGCATGAATACGGATCTACAGAGAGCAGAAATGAGTATGGGAAAGGGAGGAAAGAGGTGTGTTTGTCTAGCTCTGGGCTTGGCTACAGAGCAGGAAAAAAAGCAACAGTGACTTTGGAGATGTTGTAGCCAGCTGAAATAAAAGGGTTTTAGTAGGAGGCAGCAAATGCAATTTGTAGTGACAAATTTTCTTTTAAGGAATGAAAATATTTGTGGGGACAGGTGCTTCAAGCAGTAATCATCCAAGAACAAAAACAGTTTGAACTTAATTGGCTATATCTGCTATGATTGTGCGCTATTCGATTTAACCCAATTAGTGATTTCCCAAAAGCATCCCATCTCCTTTTGGTCAAAACTGGATTTGTCAGTGACTTGTATTTTGGCATGGGAGTCCTAATAGCTGCCACCTGCATTTCCTGTTCATCAGTAAAGGTATTGAAAATTACAAAGGAATGAGAGTTGGAAGAAAGGAAGATACTCATTTCGTAGGGGTGAGGGTTGTATTTACATGTGGGTTTTTAAGTGTACAGTACTAGGAGGAAAACCCACATGTTTCTGTGCACTCTAGAGAAGCATATGGCATTGTAATTCTCATACATCACTATGCAAGAGAATCTCCTATGGAATTCTGTGGCTCTTAACGTTTGGTGTACATACGATGCACAGATTCTGAGTTATTATGTGTGGAGTGGGCTCCAGTTTCTCAGCCAGGGATTCTCATTGTTGGCTGGAAATTGAAATCGCCTGGAGATCTTAAAAATATTGGTGCCTAAGTTCTGCTCCAAGAGGTTTTTACTTAATTTTTCTGGGAGTAAGAACTGGGCACGGGGATTTTCTAACTGTCTCCAAGTGACTCTAATGTGTAGACAAGTCTGGGACCCTCTGGTTTAGCCCATTGCTTAATACTTGGGTGGATTAAACCAGTTGTTCTTGAAGTGTTGTCCTGGAACCAGCAGCTTCAGCTTCACAGGACACTTATTTGAATGCAAATCCTTGCCCCCACCCCATATTTACTGAATCAGAAACTCTGTTTTTTAACAAACCCTCTGGATGATTCCAATGCGTGCTATAAAGTTGACACCAACTAGATTAAACAGTTGTTTAATCTAGTTGCTGTCAACTAGACCCTTTCTAAAGTGCCTCTGTGGGAGTTTCAAAAAAGAAGAGATGTCTTCAAGAGCTGATGAAAACTGCCCTGCAAAAGGACTTTTATAGAAATAACAATAATAATAATAATAGAAGCAAGAGTAGAGAAAGGGGCAAGTGGGTGATAATTTGCTGCAAAACCCAGGCAAGTTCTGGAGGGAACATGTCTTCGTAAGAGTTAGGGGGTTTGTTGTATGGCTGGTAAAACCCTGACATTACCTGCAGGCAAACTCCTACTTATTTTTCAATACCCTTTTAAAATGTCAACCTCCTCTGTGAAGCTTTCTCTGAGCTCTAGTGTACACTGCTTCATCCTTGATTTACTTAGTGCTTTCTAGTTCCTTAATTAGCTCTTGGCTCACTGTATTGTAGCTCTCTATATTTCTCTCTTCCTAACTAAATTGTGTGATCCTTCAAAGAAAGATCGCTGTTTTATTCATCCTTAGGTCTCCAGTATCTAATACACTATCTGGTACATACTAAATTTTCTTAAAATGTTTACTTAGAGGAGGCATCAGGAATGGCCAGCTTTCTTGTATTAAGAACCTTCAGCTGGAGTACACCGATAATCCCACACAGTTGGGAGGCCAAGGCGGGTGGATCATTTGAGGTCAGGAGTTCAAGACCAGACCGGCCAACATGCTGAAACCCGTCTCTACTAACACAGTGGCATGCGCCTGTAATCCCAGCTGCTACAGAGGCTGAGGTGGGAGACTTGCTTAAATCTGGGAGGCGAAGGTTGCAGTCAGCCAAAATCGTGCCACTGCACTCTAGCCTGGGCGACAGAGTGAGACTCCATCTCAAAAAAAAAAAAAGAAAAGAAAATTCAAAACATGGATTTACCTTTGTGAATTAATCATAGTCCTGAGTTCAACTCTCTGAAAGGCTAAAGACCTTGATTCTCTCAGGACATCATGACTTGATGTCTCTTAATGGTGGCCTTATACCAAAAAGTTCTCAGAAATATATCATTATTAGCAACTTACTATTTTACCATGATAATTGTCAGGTGCCAAGACTACCATTGTCAACTTTTTTTCATATTTACTCTCCTTATTGGTGTACCTACATGGGAAATCTAATTAAAATCAGTACGGAGTCAGCTGCCACAGGATAAAAGTATTTGCGTTCTTGGGTCACAGCTTGCCTCTCATCCAGGCACTGGCATCTTCTGGTTCTTTGTACTTTCCTAATTCTATAGTGTACTCTCTTCATTCTACATCTACACACAAACATTCTTCAAACAAGATAAGCACTTAGTAATTTACAGTTACATTCCATTGCACTTTTCCAAAGTTATACTCAGGTCAAAATGAATGGATGTATGTGTGTTCCCCAAGTCCTTAGAGTAACAGATTTATAGGCAGTCCTTTGGTTTAATATCCTAGGTACTTAATCGCATATTCATTATATGTAGATTTTTACTGGCTTAACTCTCAGAGGACAACCATATAACCTTATTTTTAAGTTTTTGGAAGGTAGGACACTTCGCTGTCACCTCAGTTACTGCCAAGATTATTATTTTTATTTTATTTTTTGAGAGCCTCGTTCTGTCACCAGACTGGAGTTCAGTGGCGTGATCTCTGCTCACTGCAACCTCGACCTCCGAGGTTCAAGCAATTCTCTTGCTTGAACTACTCTCCTGCCTCCCGAGTAGCTGGGACTACAGGCGCATAACACCACACTCAGCTATTTTTTTTTTTAATTTTTAATAGAGATGGGCTTTCACCATGTTGGCCAGGATGATCTTGATCTCTTGGCCTCGTGATCTGCCCACCTTGGCCTCCCAAAGTGCTAGGATTACAGTCATGAGCCACCACACCCGGCCAAGATTAATCATTTCTAAATGTTATAGAAACTTTGAAATATATGTGTCATTCTCTAAAGTGGAATTATTAAGACCCAGAATGTAAACCAGAAAAAACTGGATTTGTGACTTCTGTGCCAACCCATGATCTTAATATGTATGTGCTGAATGGATTTTTTATTTTTTTCTACAGGCATTATATCTGATAGCCACTAATGGAACCCCAGAGCTCCAGAATCCTGAGAGACTGTCAGCTGTATTCCGTGACTTTTTAAATCGCTGTCTTGAGATGGATGTGGATAGGCGAGGATCTGCCAAGGAGCTTTTGCAGGTGAAAATAAAATAGGACAATTACAAAGAGAGGCATTATATTGAGCTTTTCCATCTCAATGTGTGACAGTTAGAGAGCTCTGTCAAGAGATGTCTAGAGTTAGGCTATTACCATTTTATTTTAGACCACAGGCACATAACTATAGGCATGCATCTAATACATAATTGATTGACATGTTGCCTTTCTTCTGAGAAGTTGGCAGTGTAACCTATAAATCTCTTTAGTTCTTCCTGGAGTCTTATTTTGCAAGGAAAAAAAAACAATGTGACCCTCTGGTGTTGGTGTTTTGTTCTAAACTTTACTTGTGCCCCTGGATGTTGTATGCAGGTGCTCTTGGCCGGAGGTAATTCTCTACATAACTATGCAATTATTTCCATGGCATTTGCTACTCTAATGCTTTACTGGTCAAAGCCCCTTTGCTTGTGATGCCAATTGGCAGGCACCTGCTTGCCTGGGTGAGTACCATCCAGTGGTGAGTGCCTCTGTAACCATTTATCCTTTTCATGGCTCTCAGGGATTAGTATATATGATGAGAAATAATACTTACTATGTACCAAATTATGTCAATAAATTATTTCATTTTTATAACAACTCTATAAGATAAGCATTTGATAGATGTAAAAATTGAGGCTCACAGCTCTTGAATGGCAGAGCTGGGATACGAGGCCTGAATTGTCTGACTTTCCACCACACATCACACAAAAAACAATATATATAAAAAAAGTCTTTATTTGATAAAGCAGCACATGCCCAGGATTATACACATAGATTGACTTCTGGGGAGTGATTCTCAGGGACATGTATGAAGACATTTAACATCTAAGAAAAATGACTGCTATTTGTCTTTGTAACTTTGAACACATAAGCCAATTAAACAGAAGGTGCGACGCTTGGTTATACAACACGTTAACCACAGATTGTCTGTTCTAGCCTACCCCCTGAACGAAAAATATGTTCCTGCTGCTTCTGAACTCCCTCCAGAGACAGAGCCACACCAAGGCAAAAAAATATGCCATCCTAACTCAGATCATACCTGGGGTAAACCTATTTGGAGAAATTGAAGAGACTACATCTTCTCTTTTCTACTACCTGCAAGCATTTCACAGGTTATCATAGGACCCTAAAATGTCAAATCTGGAATAGCCCTCTGTTAATCCTCTAATTAATCCAGCCTCAAATTACAGATGAAAAATCAGCTTTTGAGTGCTTCACTTTCATATCTTTTCACTCCTCCCACCACTCTACATACACATTCTGATAAACATTCCTCTTATGTCTTCTTGTAAGGATAATTGAAGATGTAGGTTCTTTTAATGTGGATATCCACCTAAATAGATCATTTAATCAATTATCTAGTTAATTCATTCCCTAACAATACTTTTTTTATATAAACCAGTCAGATAACTGATGCAAAACAGTATTTTGAGTCTAAATTGAATACTTTAGTATGTCTTTTCATTTCATAAATGTAAGCAATAACCTGTATATCTCTATGAGTCCATGCAACTCCATTCTCTGACTCTAGCCTATTATTGCCATTTTCAAAATTAGAAAGGGGAGAGATGCATGACATTCATGCCACTGGAAGGCTGGAGAAAAGACACAGGTCTTGAATATTTGTGTACCTTTATGTATGAGCTAAGACTAAGACTGTCCATCAATTGATATTTATTCAGCAACTTCCATCCATAAAGCATAAGTGCAGTGGGTGATACAAACCTATTAAAAGGCATAATTTCTTCATTTAAGAAGATCACAATTTTCTTGAGCACATGAAAAGATAATGCAAAGCTGTTTAGTGATTCATTCAAACCAAAGAGCTGTACAAATAGTAAATGACATAGTTGATTAGAGAAATATTCTGTAAGCTAGGGTGATCAGAAAATGTCTACAAACAGGAAAGAGGTCTGTTGGGCCTTGAAGAAGTGATCAGTTTTAGGTAAGTTGAAAAAAATAGGGGAAGGGATTTGAGATGGAAGTGTTAGAGTATAACCAGAGATACATGGACAAAGTCTATGGGAACAGAATCTAGAAAGTGTAGCTGAAGTAAAGAGTACAAGTAAAGAAGCTGCAGGAGATAAAACTGTGTTGGGCTTGAATATTAGGTTTAAGAGTTGGAGCTGTAGGCAGTGGGGAAACACTGAAGATGTCCAAGGGACAAGCATGATGACAGCTTTGTTTAGGAAGATTAATCTGGTAGTATGTAGTAAGAATTAGCAACAGGAAAAAATGGAGGCAGGGAGACCAAAGGGGAGTTATTATAGTTTGGGATTAAGTTGATTAGGACTGAATTAGAAAAAGCAAGAGATGATCTGGTGTGGTGGCTCACATCTGTAATCCCAACACTTTGGGAGGCTGAGGTGGCTAGATTGCCTGAGGTCAGGCATTCAAGACCAGCCTGGCCAACATGGTGAAACCCTGTCTTTACTAAAAATACAAAAATTAGTAGGGCATGGTGGCATGCACCTGTGATCCTGGCTATCCGGGAGGCTGAGGCATGAGAATCACTTGAACCCAGGAGGCAGACGTTGCAGTGAGCCGAGATCGCACCACTGCACTCCAGCCTGAGCCACAGAGCAAGACTCCATCTCTCCATCTCAAAAAAATAAAAAAAAAGAAAGAAAATAAAAAAAAAAGCAAGAGATAAATGTAAGAGATGTTGAAAAGAAAGTACCCGGTAGCTTATTGCATTTAGAACATAAAGAAGAGAAAGACAAGAGAGGACAAGTGATGGAAGATAATATAATAGCTAACATTTCTTGACCCTATGTAACTTATAAGGGACTGCCACTTACCTCATTTAACCATTTTAATAAACAGATTTAACCTAAGTGCTCTGACTCAAAGCCCCTATAGCTTACATTGTACAGGATTGCCCTGTCTGTGGGACTGTTACATAACATTTTAAATGTTGAATTTAAGGTGACGTAAGAACATCCCGTAGAATATATCCAGCAGGAAAACTAGGACCAGAGTTCAGGAAAGAGATCAGGTCACACACTATGGATTTAGGAGTCATCCCCACAAAGCAGATGGTAGGTTGAAACCATGAAGGAGAATGAGATCTGTAAGAAATTAAATTAGAAAAAGAAGATGATGACAGCCAAGTTCTCATGAGTAAAAGGCAGGAGGAGGAAGTGAAACCAGGGAATAAAATGGAGCTAGAATATTCAGTGCACATGTGCATGGAAGAGACCCAATATGGTAGAATGTCACAGGCTCCTAAGGCTAAAGAAACAAATAAATTTCAAAGAAGGAAGGGATATTCACTCTTATTAAGTACTGCAGAGGGACAAAAAAGAGAAATGGTAGAGGCACAGCTATTGGGTTTAGCAGTTAGTAAGCCACTGGTTTCAGGATACAGTTCTTTAATGGTTAACTAAAGACACTTTTTCCAGAATGACAACTTCTCTAGATAAATTCATCAGTTTAAGAAAATCAAAGAGTCAGACTGTTGCAAACACAGTGAGATTTTACGAGATCCCTTAGAGTTTCTCACTATGCCAGTCAACTTCTAGAAGATTTCATGACACTGAAGTACAAAAACATCTGAAGGACAAAAGCTGGCACCGTTTTTAATTAAATGATATTTAATTGGGTGTTCAAAATATATCTTAATTTAAAAGGGCTGCTTGAAAATGTAAAGTAATATACTTGTTGGAGGAAAGAATTCCAATAATTCCTCTTTTTTTTCCTTTTGCAGCATCCATTTTTAAAATTAGCCAAGCCTCTTTCCAGTCTGACTCCTCTGATTATCGCAGCAAAGGAAGCAATTAAGAACAGCAGCCGCTAAGACTGCAAGCCTTACACCTCACCATCTCCCTCATGAGTAAGACTGAAATAAAACTCTGCTGCAGGAAAGATGGAAGAAAAGACAGTCAAATGGGGTGGGGGTTCTTTATCTTTCAAATGAATAGAAACTTCTTATAAGCCTTTTCCTACTCCCTCAGATTATGTAATTTATTTGTAAGCCTGAATAGCAGCCCAAACAGGGCAGCAATGTTGAAGTGACCATAAAGCAGTCACTTCCACCGTGAAGCGAAAGAGCCAGTAGTGAATCCCCTCATTTTGTGCATTCACTTTGAAGAAAAAGGTTTCTCAAAGATGCACACTCCCTCTTCATAGTGTTGTGTTTGTTTTTAAGTTAGAGAGTAGTCCCTCTTGCATTCGAACCTCCTTCCAAACTCCTTACCCAATGTGATGTTTTCACTTGCATTGTCATTAGATGTCCAGAAAAAAGATGTCAAAATGTTTTTCTAAAAAAAAAGAAAGCAAAAATGCAAAGCAAAAAAAAAATGAAAAAGTAAACAAACAAACAAACAAACAAAAAAAGAGCAAGTACTGTGTGAACATGTGAAAGTCCACGCCCTAATAGAGTTGCAATTTTTATTCTTCTTCTATAGTGGTGACTTGGTTTATGTACCTATTTTTCTGCATTTGGGTTGGAAAAGGTTTCTTTTAAGACATTTTCCAAAAGTGGAGAGGAATATGTGTGTTCAGGAAGGGCTTTTACAAACTGTATATCTAAATAAAGCTCAAATGGTGAAGTCCTGTCACATTTTCACAATCATGCTTAAAAGCTAGTTGAGTAAACCAGGTTGTTAATCTTCTTAATACCTGGAAGAGGACACACTGAAACTGTGACATCCTGCTAGGTGAGTTCAGGTTCTGAACCTAGGAAATCCTGATAGGAGAAACCACATTTAAACAAAGATGGAACTTTCTTTGAGAACCAAAACCAGATAAATGTAGAATCCTGAAATCCTTGTTGGACTTCAAGTAAACAAAGGTAATGAAACCTAAATTAATCCTCTCTTGTGCTTATAAAACATATGCACTGTAAAATAGGCATACCAGGAGGAAATCATTCCATTAACCAACATTTCCTTATGACACAAATTATTTATTTTGAAAATTTATAACATTTACAAAAGGTTTTTAAAGATCTAGAGAACAGTGATATAGTAAACATTCAACTCTGTAAGAAATGGGAGGTCAGTGAAAGCTACATCCCAATCAATATTTGGCTCTAAGTACTTGTTCCCATTTTCTGTATGTATCACCTATTTCTGTTTCAGAATATGGTATGTTCATGCTTAATTCTTTGGGCTTTTGAGTATCAAAAGCATATTCATAAAGATCTTCAAATGCTCTTCAGTGGAAAATAATTTTAACTTACGGTCATATTTCAAGAAATGTCAGTCCAACAGAATTCCTTCTATGGCTTCAGGAAAATAACAAAATATCACCATATATTATAACAATATTTCACCAACTATTATTTCACCATTGATTAAAAGTTCAACAGCTGGCACTTCCTGAATCTTCTTAGAATAGAAAAATATCTGGAGGGTGTCTGTGTAGAAAAGGATATGCTTCTCTTTTGAGTGTATTGATAATTTTATAAATTACAGAAAGTTGTTTCTCTAAGCCTTTGAAAAGCTAATGATTTGTGTGATAGAAGGCTTCTTAATTTATAGTATTCAAAGAATCTAAACAGAACCTATAAACATTCAGCAAGAAGGGGAAAGAGATTAGTTACTTAGGCCTCTCTCCTTCTTTGCAAAGGTACATCCATCCATTTAACCATCCATGTATTCATTCCTTAAAATGAAAGCACTTTCTTTAGAGTTTCAGCAAAGCATTTAGTGTACATTTTTATGTTTAGGAGATGACCCCACAAGTGTGTTTCCTATTTTCCCTATTGTTTTCTTTGACTGTAAAATTTGGGAGGGGCTTGATCTCCTCCCCTTGAAATGTCCACATTGGGATAAACAACAAATGTGGAAAGAAAATGAAATGGTAATATTAATTTGAAGCATACTATGTTATACCTTGCAAAAAGGCATCTGGGCCTGTAATTTTTAATGCTACACTGCTCTAATGAGAGAGAGAGGCCTTAATTTGATTTCATTTAAATTTTTTCACTCATAGTGCCAGGAAAGTCAATAAAATCCTGGGATGCAAATAAAAACCAGTACATTGGTGACCATGTCCTGCCAGTGAAGAGAGCCCAAAACCTGGTTAGGAAGCCCTGTTCATCAGTTAGCATCCCTTAGATGTTGTGAAGGCCTTTTTGTTGTTATTTTGGAGAACATGGAGCAGTGATCCTTCAGACCACCGTAGGCAGAGAAATGGCTTCTCTTTTATGCTTTCAGTTCAGCATATTAAAAACGAGGAGCCAAGTACTTCTTTACGACCACTTTGTACCAAGATTTTATAATAATATATCCCAGGAGGCATTACTTTTATAAATTTGTACTTACGTAAATTTTCAAATGAGAACAGCTGCTAAAACCCCTTCCTTGTATTGGAGAGTTGTAAATATTTCTAATAAGTATTAGAGAGAAGCTGTTTCTCATGCCACAATGATGCTGAAGGATTCACTTTTGGTACAGTCGAGCAACTTGGACTCCAGATTGTTAACAGTTTATTCTCTTTCCCCAGATTTTTTTTAGCTCATCTTGACACAGGTGAGTCTATCCAAATCTTTAATGTTACTAGTGTGCCCTGAGATAACAAGGGCACATCCTCGAATGTTGATTCCAAAATGTCCTGAGATAGGAATAGGGCAGTGGGAAAGTCAGGAAAGGGTGAGAAGCACAGTAGAGATTATTTATTTAAAAAAGAAAGAACGTTAATGTTGTTAGCAAGGATCCAGTGCGTTGTCATAATCCCATGAAGATTGTCGAATGACACAATCCTCTCAATCAGTCACCATGTTGGGTAATGACTTCGTTCTTGCTGACCTCGTGTATGTGTCATTGTAAATATTTGTGCGTCCATGTTCCATTTTGGCTACTGGATGGCCAAGTCATGTAAGAAAATTTAACTCAGTATTTATTCTTTATGTTATTCAGATTTCTTTCAGGCTTGTGAACTGCACCTCAATGTTTGAGTTTAACCACCTTATCCTTACATCTATCCCTCCCCAGTGAAGCACACTCCATTGCTAAAAGAAAAAGAAATATGAAATTGCTTCCTGTTGTCTGTATAACTGTTTTGATAGTTTGAGATGTTTGTCTATAAATGATATTTCTCAGCTCAAAGATCGTGTAAATAATTATATTCCTTTGCTTAATGAGTTGTTTGTTTCTAATGAAGCTGCCAGTTCTGAGAGATCCTATAATATCACTTTTGAATAACATAAACAGGGATTACAACTATGTAAAAAGAAATGCATATGGACAAAGACTGGTAACACAGAAAATTGAAATCAGTTGTGTTAGGGTGATGGAATTATGTGAAAATTTTTTTTCTTTTAAAAATTTTCTTTGATGTTGTTATAATAATTGCTTTATAATAAACAGCAGAAAGGGAACTATAGACACATAGAAAAGACGCCAGAAGCAGATGCCTTCTGGCCAGAGCCCAGAGCATGCAGGGCACAGATATTTGCTAGTTACAATTATTCCATAGGCTTTATACTTGCCTGGGTGCTGAGGTTGGCACACGCTCGGGTATGGCATGTGCTTTCTTAGGAGACTATTATCAATAAGTTAAAGCTAGGGAGATGTCACTATTAGAACTCAAAACACACTCTTCTGCTTTAAAACAGGCTGTCTGCCCTCTGCTTTGGTACGGTATTCGGGTGTTTGTTTTGTGGTTGCTTTAGACTGGAGGCGTGACCATTTTTAGCCCCCTTAATAACATCGGTTGCAGATACTGCCTTTCTGGAACGTTTTAACAGACTTTCGGGTTGAATTTTGGAGGAATAGGATAAAATCCCCAGCTCCTACCATTTTCCTTGTCCAACAGGATATTACTGTATATCATTCAAGTAGAATTCTTATTTTAATAACCAATACGGCAAGTCCCATTGATTTCAGTAGAAGTTATGACTTGTAATTAAAAGCTGACTTTGAAATCATTAAACAAATATTTAGAACCATCTCTGCCTGTTGGCATTCAGTTATAGTTCTGTTAATTTTGACTTGAGATGGTCTCCTGTGCTTTTGTTTCGCCTAATTATAGGTTTTATGCAGTAGTTGTGATTTTTAAAGAGCAAGGGAGATCATCTAATCAAAGGAGAAGAATTTCCTTCTCACTCACTGAAGAAATTTTAGGTGAGAACTTTAATAATGAGGTAGTCACCTCGGATATGATATGTTACTTAGTTTCACTAAAAGCAGACCCTCAACTAGAGAACTCAATTGGCTTTTTATCGGTCATTCGCCTTGTAAAAATACTTAAGGGAGTCTTAACCCTGCCATCCCCAGTTGAATCTCTTGGTCTTTATCTGACCTACTTGCAGTTAGTATTCAGTTTAACAAGGCATGGCCAACAATGCAAGTATCTCCCAGTCTCTGAGCTCTGAACAAGAAGACTGAAATTCAGCATTTGTAAACTGACAGTTCAATAGGCCTGGGATTTGGAGTGAACTCAACACACAATTCTGAACATATATTTGTATGTGGACTGGGAAGGAAATAAATGGTAACTTGGAAATAATGGAAATATTTCTCCTATAAAAGAATTTTTCATAAAAGATTTGTTTCTGATATAATTTTTCTGTTGCTTAGCTTTTAGTTTTTTCATTCCTTTTCTGATCCACAGTCCTTTAACTAACCAAATGAATATAAACCAACATGCATTGGGAATGTGTTAATATTAAACAATGTCCGACTGAATCTGCAAAGGCGGGAACTGAGATATCACCTTCATGTGCACACCTGTGTGTACAAGTATTCTATTTAACTTGTTGCATTTACTGCCACTTAATTGGGTTGAACTTGCAATATAAACTTTTAGAAACTGATTAGTGCCATCAAAGTCTCCTTTAGAAGCTGCCATCAGGCAAATGCTATCCCGTAATACCAGCAATAAGGCAGGCATCCATCTGTTCACCATATTTAGTACCCAAGAGGAAATCAATAGCAATAATAGAGAATGAGTCAGATGTAGTGGAATAAATACTAGCCTAGGAAGAAGGAGCCCTGGAGTCTAATATGAGCTTATTACTAATTGCAGTGAGACCTTGGGCAAGTCACTTAACCTTTCAATGACTGTTTCCTCGTCTGTAAAATAAGTGTATTGGACTAGATGATCCTTAGGGTCTTTCCAAAAGCTCTAACATTCTACTGTATTATAGGTTGCCTTGCAAATTCAGCCTGCTATAGTGATGGCAAATATCACATGCTTAAGCCTGAGTGTCTTATGTTGCAGTTAAATAAAAGAACTGTGTAGGATGATTTTTAAAACTCAAGCAAATGAAGTTCATAATAATAGGGAATGTTGATAAAACTTGTGGCAGCCTTTCAATTCATTCAGGGTTGTTTCGTTTTGTTTTTGTTTTAATGTCCATTTTCTGTTGACTGTTCCCAGTTTTCATTTTCCATACACTCTCTATGTAAAGTCTGGTTTTCATTAAGCTGTCGCCAGTATTGCCACTACAACAGAAATACACTGTCACACTTGCTAGAATATAACTGTACTTGGGCTTCTCCTTTCCTGTGAATTAGTGCTGGGCTTTATATAGTTTAATTCTCAAGTGGCACAAGATGGCAGAGCCCATGCATTTTAATGGCTGAGACTACTAAGAGTAAACCTAAACACTTACAAGTTGCAGAGAGAAATGAAAAAGTAATTACATGCTCTTAGCAGTCAGAAGTGTTGACAAATTCATTTGTTGGGAACCAAAGATAGCATTCCTGATGACAACTCCCACAGTGATTGGCCAGTTGTATGATGAGTACACTGCTGGAAAGAGGGTAAACTGGGAGTTAGTGGATGGTCCCAATGCCCTGCCTACAGCAGAGTGCCAACCAGTCCTGAGTGCAAAATTCAAGTTCAATATGTGTGCTTGTGTATGGTGTGCTTTATGGACCTGCAAATACTATATTGATTATTGGTGATAAGATCTTCACAGAATCCTGTAACTATTAATGCATTGAGTTTTAAATCTCAGTACATCAGCCGGGAGGAGCCAGATCACAAGGGTAGTGATGTCTACTGGGATTATACTTAAAACATCTACACAAAACAAGTTGAGGATCCACATTTTCATTGTTTATCAGAATTGTATCTCATTTGGCTGTGCATTACTTTTGTCAAAATGTGTTATCTGTAAACCATGTGTAGTGAAATTCTTCTGTAACTTTGGATTAAAGGTATTTATGGTCTTTTTGTTTGTTGATTTTTAAGTAAGTTATTTCTTTTGTAGACCTGCTGATGGTATGGTTACATCCTTTTGGCCTCAGCATCCAATCTTTTTAAGGATTTTTGTTTCCATACTGTTATTTAAATTGTGGTTGAAGCAATAGAAAATTGAAATATGGATTGTGCATGACTGTGTCTTGAGTGTAAAAATATTGCAGTTTGAAACTTGGACCTAAAGTATTGCAAATAAAAATGACAAACATCAGTGAGCTAGTGCTTCTGTCTTGTGTCACCTTCCCATCCACCCCCTTAGCATTGACCATTTTACCTACTTCACAGGTTGGTGGGTATATCACTGTCTCATAGGTCTGGAGGCAGGGAATTGCCCAGCCTTGTGACCAATACAGGAAATGCCCTGCGAATTCTGCTACTAAATAACTCAGACGCAGATTCTCCATTTGATGTTTGCATGGAGTAGCTCAGAGAGACAAATATGTATAATCAATGCAGGTCAAAAGCCGTGTAGATGACGGAAACCTACCAAAAGAAAATCACATGTAGTAAATAATTTGTTTTTGATCATCTTTCCACTTGGAAAATTCTGAGCATGCAAAACCATCTGCACAATGTTTAGTTTTGTCTTATATCTGATACCAAAGTCCAGAGGTCACAGGAGCATTCCAACCAACATTACTGAAAACCTTCACTCACTAATTTGCTCATGCATTAGTAAGCATTTATTGAGCTCCTGCTACATATCAGACACTGTAGACATTTCTTTTAAAGATAACTTTTCTTTGAGAAATTACTTTGAAATGTGACTAAATGACAGTAAAGCTTGTTAAAACTGCTAGACATACCTGTTTGTTGGAGGCTCTTTTGAGTCCTCAAGACTCAAGACAGGGACACCAGCAATTTGATCAACTAGTATTACTTGTGCAGTACTACTATACAATCTTTCTAGAGCATGTGTAATTTTGTACTTTTATGTAAGTGCGTACACAATGGTACTATATTCTCTACAAGTGGATTACATATCTTACCAAATATTTCGTTGTTTCTAGTTCACTGTACTTACATGCAAGCTTTAATTTTCTCACTTAAACTCTTTATATTGAAAGGCAAAAAGACATTTTCTGTAAATACGAGTGGGCAAGTGAATGAGAATTCCAGTAGCTAGGATTGAGCCAAGTTATCTACGGTCCATGTGCACAATTACTGCACTGCCTTCTTACTAACAAGCTCCTGCTAACTAACAATCCTCACAACCTTCCAGCCTTTCTTGCCAGGTTTGCTCCAACTAATTTCTATTCTTATTAAGTAACGTAGAAATACTCTTTATAAGTTAGCAAATTACCAATATCTTCTATCAAAAAATAAAATTTGAAGGCATTTTCCTTTGTCACAATGACTTGAAGGAGCAGGGCCCAAACAATGACAAATATATTATTCCACAGCTCAGCCTTATAAGCATGATTGCTGGAATTCTAGTCTTATCCAAGTTCCTTACCTCCTATTGAAGTGAGGAGGGGCTAATACCTGAAATGTCCCTCAGATTATAGTTGTTCTCCACATCCCATGAGGTCTTTGCCCCCAAGCACTTGGGTGGCATCTTCTGGCTTCCCACGTACCTGTGGGACACACAACTACTACCACCACCCTCTGCTAATCCTGTACCTTTGTCACTGTACAACTGCTCCTGTGTTTGCCATTCTACTTACCTATATCTGCAATGTACACAGCAGTCCCTGATGCTGACAGATCTCTGGGTAGGCCACTGGGATGACTCAACCACTTTGCAATATTACAGCTGATTACTTTTTGTTTGTTTTCCATACCTGATGGCAGAGACCCTTCTCATGGAATAAAATTATTCCACTACATCTTTGGATCTATCTTGATAGTTCTTTTTCAGTTTTTGGCACCTCACTGTACCAGGGAGCAAATATGGTCTTGGTTTTTCCTCTCTCCTTTACTGGGGCTTGTCAGGTCAACTTTTGCATATTCCATGCCTGCTGCCTACAGTAGAGGTTAATCTGAAGCCTTTGCTATAGCCATTGCTTTATACATACTTATACATGTTCTCCCAAGCAGCTGACCTTGGGGTAAAAAGGAAATTGGCAATGTGGCCCTATTATATGTGTACCTTAGTCTTTTACCTAGAGAACCCTGGTCCTATTTCCTAGAGATATACGTTTCTTCAAAGTAAGAAGCAAGGCTATATTACCACTGAGGGTAGACAGGTAAAAAGTACACAGGATCTCTCTTCATTCTTACAATTACATGTAATTACAACTATCTCAACAATATTTGCAATAAGAAAACCAATGGACTGCATGGCATCTTTGTTTATGACATTTCAGAGGTCATGGTAATGAGATAGGATGGGTATCATGGCCCAGCCCACTTCTACCTCCAACTACCTATTCCATGGGTATCAAGAAATTCCTTACTAAATTAATTCTGCCTGTCACCAGTCCCACCCACCTTAATAGGATGTCTCACTTTCTCTTCAGCCACTTTTGATTCCTCCCTGAGGATGCAGGGAATTCAAATATCATTACTTTTAAGTTCTTCCCTGTGGACATGAATTGATGGGCTTCTCTGCCTACAGCATTGCAGGGAAATAAAATTCATAAGAAACAACTTTTAATTTTGCCGCGTGCAAAGCCAAATTGCTTTGCTTTACAAAATAAGAGGGCTATGCCATGTTCTAATGTAATAAAATAAGACTCTTTACATTGTACACTGAAACCCTGCAGTAGGAATAAATAAATAGCCTCACTAGGCTTTCCACATTTTTATCCTAAACTTTCTTGAGCAGACATTAGCAAATGGAGTTAAAATTCCTTTTATATTTAAATATATGTAGCTGACATAATTCAGATATTTTAAAACTATTTAAATAAGATAGTTACTCCTCTAGCATTCAAGTAGAAAACGGGGATTACCAAACTCTTCCCCATAACGAAGATCTTAATCCTTGCTGCTATTGGTCTGTTACTGCTTTCAGCAGTGATTTTTGTTTTGATTTTGGATGTATTTTGCTTGATAAGCGGTTTTTCACCTTAACCAAAAGTGCATGTATTATAATCTGATTTCACGATATTTCTACCATAAGGTTTGACTGTAGAAAAGACAATAATGGTCCCAGTTGGTAATTTAGAGTCTTCTAACTCCTTTGGGTAAACATTATCTGGATTCCATATGATCTCATCAATCTCACCAACACCAACACATCTAGCATCAAAATGATATAACCACTTCATTGTGTGAAGGATCATGTTACCAAATCCTGAATGATAAAGGTTTTATTCCCCCACATTGGGAGACAATACCATAAAGTTCTTGCAAGAAGCAGCATTTATGAACTTTTCCAATCCATTCAGGATAACTCCCATGGCAGTGTTGCATGGATACCACTTGGACTGATGTCTTAACCAATGATGTAGGCATGTGGATTAATATCAAAATAGCCTATAATATCAGGATAAGTATCTGTAATCTAGGATTTCCTTTCATCAGTGTGTATATGAGGAGCAAAGGCATCGATTCCAGAATCAATGAAACCCCTTTTTGTTAGCTCCATGGTGAACTCCTTGATCATTTTTAACTCATTAACGGTGTAATTTTGAGCATTATTAACACCAAACTTAGCCCCTCCTTTAAATGGTGTATCAACTGCAACATTGTATGTTATTAAAGAAACTAAAGCCTTAATATTATTCTCACTAACATCTGTCCTATAAAGGAAGCAGTGTTAGTTGTGCTGGGCCAATGTGCCCTCTATGGCCTTCTAGAAGTCACTGTTCCTCTGATGGGAAAAGTAAGGCTCAGCACATAGTTGTAGGCTTAATGATTCATAAAATGCCATGTACCCAACTGAGCACACCTCACTTTTTCAGATCTTCAGGTTTTCCACCAGCTTTTCTCCAACCATCATGGCATAGCAGTTGAAGCCACCAACCCCACCCTGTAATGCAGGATTTCCAATCATGTTGTCCTTCATCATTGTAATGGTCCCTTGCTACAGCTGAGGTGGTTCCCGCTGATGCAGGAGCAAGGTTAAGTACAAGTTTGACTCCCCAGCCTGTAAACGAGAATTAAAGGAGTTCTGGAGGGGTACTTGCTTTTCTGGCAAACATATGGATGGTGGCCTGGTGACTTTTCTTTATTTCCTGTTGGCTAGATTATACACTGTGGCCCACTGTTATAGGGTCACCCATTTTTTCTTGCCCATAAACAAGACAAACGTGTTGGACTCCCCAGGGAGGCCCTCAATCATTCAGTGGAAACTCAGCACCTCTCCATGCAGCTCCTGTCATCATACTCTAACAATGTAATAGTGTGTATATCATTTGCGGTTGTTGCAAAATATCTTGGGGGCCAACCTGTATGTTTCTAGTAGTTTCTACATTGGTTTAGCTACATATTTTATCAGCTTCCTAAATCTCCATACCTCTTACTTTCTCCTTTCAAGAGGAAGTCTCTGATCAATGGGATTTCACACCAAAAATAAAATTGAGTAAAATTATCATTCCCAGTAGAGTGGTAGCCCAGTACCAAAAATGATCAATCTGATTCCCCTACTGCCTGTTTTGCTCTTGCTTCAAACTTGACTCAATCACATGCTGTCAAGTTAGTGGAATCACTGAAATTATAGATCCCCTTTAGGGTAATATGGGATTAAGAGTTTAGATTTCAGAGGTAGAACTGCATTTTATGTCTCTCTAAGCATGAGTTTCCCCCATTTTAACAACAGTGTAAAAATACATCAGAGGTTGTGGAGAATAAATAGTTAATATATCATAATGCTTATCCTGCTGTACAGCAGATACTCAATAAATAGTAACCATTATTATTATTCACCTTTCAAATATTTATGGTCATTTGGAACACCTTCAATAGTAACCACTCCCCTGAGTTAATTTTGGCCAGCAATCCAAATGCAGACAAGTGGCTCTTCCACAACGCTATACTCATTGTTAGAGACCTTCTGGTCCCAAGCAGGACAAGCATAGGTGGGCCCAACTTGGTGCAATGTGAGGACACCATTAGCATGCACCCCAATTTTTCCCATCTATATCTAAAGGCAAGAAATCTTTTTTTTTAAATTTTTTATAGGATTTTAGGTTTTGGGGTACATGAGCACAGCATGCAAGACAGTTGCGTAGGAACACACATGGCGGTGTGCTTTTCTTTCCTTCTCCCCTTCACCCACATTTGGCATTTCTCCCCAGGCTATCCCTCCCCACCTCCCCCTCC